TACATTAGCCTTCTGAACTCATAACCATGTGCTTATACACACACAGACACACACACACAAAACATGACGTGTTGATTTTACTGCCCAGAGACTGGCTGGATAGTGTGTTTAAAATCATAAAAAACACTGTCGACTAGCAACGCAGCTAATATTTACCCCACATGTCTGTCTGGCCAGCCACCTCTCAGCGCATGTGTGTGTGTGTTTAGCCTGACTGTTCCATCTAACCACTGAACATAAACATGCTGTCAAAATATGGTCAGCAACATGAGAGGAAAGACAGATAGAGACACAGACAGCAAGAGAGACAGAGAGATAGAGACACAGAGAGAGATAAATAAGAGGTATTTGCCCGCCCTCTGCTCTGCAGGAATGTAATCTTGGCTCAGACCAGTGTGGTAACACAAAGAAACCCGCTGCAACAGCACTACTAATACAGATACAACACACACACGCACATGTGCATGTGCGCACACTTGATCTCTTTCTCTCAGACATGACAGTGGGTGTGTCACACTGGCAGGTATACAAAGTACAAGGTCTATGCTGTGTGAATGTGTATCCAAACTGTTCTCTACGGTTGACGGTTACCACTCCTTTTTTATGCCACTGACAGCAGTGTTGGGGGGTAAACAAGGACCTGCTGCTGCTCAAACAAGGTCGACTGGTAATACCACTGCAGACCCTAAACTCATGCCACATAAGTTTATGAGTGTGTTTGTGTGTGTGGGTATATGGGTCTGACAGGGTGTGATGTGAACCACCCAGTCCAGGGATGGGTGTGGCCTGGAGTAAATGAGGCAAAAACCAGACTGAGCGGGAAATCAAGTAGCTACCAAGATGGGCGGAGAATGAAAACAAGCAACGCGGACTAGAATAGGCTTGCATCAAATGAAAATGGGATGGTACAGCACTTGAAATAAGCTGGCAGTTTACCTCTGTGTGGGTGGGGTAGAGCTGCAGTGTTACAGTTCATTTACTGTAGAGAGCACTCTATATTATTTCAGACTCATTCTAGTATAAACTAATGAGGGAGGCATTAGTTGGCTTGCTGCTGCAACCTGAGCTGACTATTATACGGCAATCTGATTAGGAATGCTTTAGTGAAGCAAGCAGAGAACTCGAGTGATTACAACTACTGAAGGTTAAAAGTAGGTTACTTCCTCAACACATCATGTACCTTTTAAACTCTTCTTCCTGTAGTTTTGTCAGACACGATGAAGCTCAAAGGAGCATATGCTGCACCACACTTTCACACCTGCCTCATCGGTTATTCTGTTTGCATTTACATCAGAGCAGATCTTAATATTTAGCTGTAAATACGAACCGTTTATACAGATTTAGAATCAGCATATCTTACCTAGCCTGTCTGCTTAGACGTTAATCATTAATAGACAAAGTTACAAAGCTGACTTTAAATCAGGGAGTTCTGGCAGCCACTATCCTTCTCCAAATATTTACCCCGCTCTGACATTGCTAAGCTGTCTGTGCTGCACCAACCAGATACACAGGCAACGGAAAGCGCTGCGCTCTGAGGTTAAGGCCTAAGTTTAAGGCCAGTGAACACCCACACATGCATATTGTAAGTGCATGAACACATACACACACACATCGCACACAAACCACAAATTGGTTTAAATTCTGTGGCCTAGATGAAAACTTGGTTCTGATTGATTGTCTTGCTCGGGGGTATATGATCCACATCTGATTACTGCCATGAACATCTTCCCATGAAAAATGGTGTTTTAACTCTTTTTGCTATTTCTGGTACAAATATAATCCCTGCTCTGAGTCCCACAGCATGGACTGTACAAGCATGGTTTAGTGCAGGACACATGTTTTTTGTGTGTGAGACTATCTGTGTGTGTATGTGTGTGTGTGTGTGTGTGTGTGTGTGTGTGTGTGTGTGTTCACCATGTAAAAAGGAGGCCAGAGAGAAAGAAAAAGAGAGAGAGAGTGGCTGTTGGGAAAATGACTGGGTTTGGGTGTGACCTGCTCAGCTATGCACTGGTGATCATGTGAGACCTGTTCTAATTATACACTTCTCAAGAAGAAGGCCGATCCTCTCTCATGGGCAGAAAGTGTGTGGGTGCAGTGTGTGTGTGTGTATGTGTGTGTGTGCGTTGTGGGTGTAGGGGGTGCAGGACTAGTAATGGGGCATGATGTGGCTTCATGTTACACAACTAAATTGAGAATTTGTCCTATTTCAACCGCTGAACGTGTGTGAAAGTAGAGTAGGACATGTGATTTTTCAGTGTGTGTGGATTTGTGGGTCTATGTAAGAGGAAAACCTTAACGATGTGGTGAATGTGTCACTGCCTATGCGTTTGTATTTTAGGTCTTATCTTCTGGCGTATATGTGCAGCTAACAGCTTTCGCTTCTAATTTCCTCTATCCTTTTTTAAACTCTCTCTCTCTCTCTCTCTCTCTCTCTCTCTCTCTCTCTCCTACTGTTTCCACTGTGGGTTTCAGAGACCTGCTCTGTTTTTCATTACCAATGGAAAAAATGGGGCGCACGGTTAAAAAAAGTATCACCCATCTCCATTAATACACAAGTCCTAGTGGAAAATGAGTCCAAACTACGAAAATAGGCCCCTTGGTTCCCTCAAAAAGCCTCCATTTTTCTGCCAGCTACTCCTTTCCAGTAGCTGACCTTTACCTCAGCGTGAACGTCAGTTTAAACATACGTATCTAGAGCCCTCCGCCTATAGAGAAAAGCTGTACTGTGTTGTCAGTGAATGTCGACATGTGGTCACCGTGTCAAACTGAGGGGGGCCTGCGACATCTAGATAGTCAGGAGAACATTTGTGTTTCAGTATCTTGCACCTTGGGGCTTCTTTTCATAGCTTTGACCACCATTTCTATTGGTTAACATTTAAATAAATATTTGACATCTAAAAAACAATGCAACATAAATTCAACTAAGTTCAACGGGGAAATAAATGAGCATTCAGGTGATCACAAGTTGTAAAAAAAGCCAACAGTGTAGCTGCTTCTTTAGGCAAAACCGAAAATGAGCGCATAAGAATTGTTGGCCATAATCACTTCCTGCATTGGAAAGTTGTGTGCGCACCAAGCGGCAGCCTCCGGGGCTGAAAAATGAATCCCAATAGGCAACCATGTTAAAATGCCCAAATTTACAACAGAAATAAACATGTTTACAGCCTGATAGGAAAAAAAGTTTTGGTCTCCATAGCTAATATCCTTATTAGTGACAACTGTATGGGGGATGAATTTATATATAACTCACCCATTTACATTTTATCAAGGCTTAAAGTTAGCATTATTAAGGGTTGGGTCGCTGTGAGTGTCAGGCTGTCTGCTAGGTGTCACTATTGTCTATAAATCAGATCCACTCATTGCTCCTCCAAAACCTCCAACCTCCCATCCAAATATGGTCACTTCTGGCTCCAAAGAAACAAGATGGTGGCGGCCAAAATGCCAAACCTGAGTCATCAAACCAATGGGTGACGTCACAGTAGCTACGTCCATTATATTTACAGTCTATGGTGTGCACACAACTACGACAAGCATGGTGCACCAAAGCTGAACTGGGAGGTGGGTCTATAAACTGGGATGGATGGTTACAACATATGGTTTGGGTATTCATTTTAACACCTTTGTTTTCTCTCCCTACTCAGTTTGTCTAAACTAGGTTTATTTAAAACCTGTACGAGCATGTGAGTGCGCGTGTTTCTTGGAAGATCCCAGGAGATTGAAGACAATGATGGTGGAAATCTCCATCGATAGGAATGATGTCCAAAACCATGAAAACAGTACTCGTGATTTAATAAACAAGAATGACTTAATTTGGCCTGTAATTTTGAAAATCACTCACACACATGCACAGGCGTTAGCACATTGTGAGGAAACTTGGGGAGAGTTCAGCCTGGGCTTCACAATGTTCCTCTGTCCACATCTGCCTGTAAACACTGTTCTCTGAGTCGACTCACACATGCTGTCCTCATCCTAACCCTGCCCTGTTCACACACTGCCAATGACCACGAGTCACCAATGTCTGCAGGGGCAGAACACAAACAGAAATAATAAAAAAAACACACACAGCCAAACCTGTGAGGGTGTGTGTCAAAGCTAGAAATTTTGGGTTGAGGTACGCCCATCTCTAGAGATCTCATGCTCCGATAAAAGACAGATTGTGAAAGAGAGAGAGAATGAGCTGGAGACAGAAACAGAGGTGTTTGCTTTTCTGCTTTCCTGCTGCTGCCTAAAAATGGAAAATTACTGCATACGCTGCCCTAAATTTGCCCCCTACTTAGCTCTAAAATACACACACACGTCTATAGAGACACATACATACAAACCCCCTCTAACTGCCCCTAGGCCTCTGCACAGGAAGTGGTTTGAGTGAGTGAGATCTACATGATGACGCTATCGCTGTGTTCCTCTCTAGCTGTTGAAACGTGTTGTGCTCAGGGCATCCATATGTGTTTGTACATGTAACAGCCTATTCATCTGTGTTTTCCTGTTCAAACACTGGCACACAGCACAGTTTTTCACTTCCAGAGAGACTGTGCTGATTTAGTAAATTCACGCAACACTGTTTATGTACAGTGTAATCAGTCGGAAATGAGGCTGACTTCTACATGACTGCTGAAATAAGTGCTGTAAACACCACCAGCCAAAACACTTCAGCCTGTCCTAGAAAATTCCACAGTGCAGTGTTACAAACGCCTGACTTCTGCTTCCCAAATCGAAAAAGCTGCAACTCCCCCCTCCTCCTCCTCCTCCTCTCTACCCTTGATCACATGTTCCAGTCACCTGACCAGAAATAGGTGGGCCCAAGGAGAGCACATGCCATGGCCAGATGGTGTGCTCTGGCGTGATATAGACTGTAGACAACAGCTATTTCCAGTTTGTAACTCCATATATTCACTCAAATTGCCTGTCAGACTGAACGTGCTCAGTCTCTTATCCGTGGCCAGTCTGTCTGTCTGAGATCTGACCTCCAGACTTCCTGTTCAGCACTTCTCCTTCCTTACCTTGAGTGAGTCAAAGCAGGCGATGACCCGTCCGTTGTCCACCTGACAGCTCTTGGCCGGATGAGCGAATTTGCACTCCTGGTCCGAGCGTGAGCACGTGCCCCTCTGGAACTCCCTGCATACCTCGAGCGTAAGCCACTTTGTGTCACGGATGTGTGCCATGTTTGCCATAGCCATGGCGACACGCTGGCAAAAGTTATTCCGAGCTGAAATCTGTTCAAGCGTGAATAAAGTACCTCTTGTGTGTTAATCCACAACTTAAAGGTCTTTGTTTATTTATTCGTTGTTAAATTCTCTTATACGTGTATGTGACCTTGAAATGAAACATTCAAAATAAAGTTCCTATTGATTGGGAGGGCTCCTTTTCCGAAGTGAAATGTTGCAGGACGAATGTTATTGGATGAATTTCCTGATCAATCAACCAAAGAGAAAGTGTTTATATCCAGGAGACGATAACCTACAAATGAAGTTGCTGCTCTTGGCCCGACTTTGCTTGCCGAACATACAACATTCACAAACAGATGAACAGGCCAAATCAAGAGCCCTCTGGTTAGGTGCAGTGACGCAGGCAACAAAGGTGATAGTCTGGGTGTAGCCTGCTACAGGAAGGTTAAGGACACTGAGGACCGAGTGGAGGCTTAGAGGGTTGAAGGCGAAGGTTAAAGGCAAGGTGGGTGAGATGCTGCGTGGGCCTGGTGGTGTGTTGCGCTGCTGTGGTAAGTGGTGGAGGGCAGTTGGCAGCGGGGCCGTCTGGTGAGGAGAGCTGAGGCTGGAGCCCGACTGCGTGGACTGGATGGTAATGGCGGTGGATGGACGAGCAGGTCGGAGCGTAGGCTGCGAGGTGGGTACGGCTGCTGTCCTTGTACTTGTGTTACTGTGGCAGCAAGCGAGCGAGGCGGGGGGCAGGGAGGGTGGAGCTTCAGCTGTAGAAGCAGGTCGAAGCTGCAGCAGACATCAGGGAAGGCACTTCCTCTGGAGGGCAGAGAGACACAGAGAAGGAGGGAGAGAAACATTAGGCTGATGATACACATCCAAAGAAAACTTTCAGGTTTATTTCTCTTTCATTCATCTTTCATAGGAAGTTCTGACCTGCCGCATTATTTAATCTGCCACTAAGCTATGCAGCTGTGGGAATGAAGAATATGTAAAAATGTCAGAAATGCAAGGGTGTCAGCTAAAACAAATAAAACGTTCACCCGCCCTGCGCTCTAAACACACATGGCGCGCACACACACGCTCATCACGCCACACCACACACACACAGAAATGCACAAAGCAGCCATTCACAACTTTCCACCTCTTCTGGTCAACGCTGGAAAATCAGATCAAATCCTGTATCGCTTACAGTCGAGCACAGCAAAGCCGGCCATTGCGAATCTGTTTAGAGGTGAAAGAAAGGAAGAGAGTGAAAGCAGAGGGGAAGTCGAGGCAGGGCAGGAGGGAGAAGAGGTTAGTCATTTCCCTTCTTGCGAAGCGGTGTGAGAGTGGGGACCAATGAGAGTTTGCAGAGTTGCAGCAACATTCTGGGCTGAGCGCCAGGTGAGAGCAGGGGGAGGAGCAAAGAGGAGGCTGACCTGCCCGCTGCTAGAGGAAGAGAAAGAGAGGGACAGGCTGAACTAATCACTCCACTCGCTATTACTATGACTACTGATTTATCATAAACAATAATTTAAACAAACAGCCTTTCATGAAAGATCTTAACTAATATTCTCCATGAGCTAAAGCATTTTTAAATAAAAAGCACCATCATGATCACAGCAATGCTACAATGACCTCACACAGACATGCCTGCTGTGATCATACCATGTGTATTTCCCTCATAAACAAAACTTGCCATTCATCAAATGCAGAGAGAGTGTTTTTTTAATACTTATTCGGCAGTGGTTTCTATTTTGAATCCGTTGTACAGCATTTGCTCTGGGATTTTGAATGATTGGGCTCCCGTGGGCCCAGTCGGCTCTTATCGCACAGGCAGGGTAACTCACCACACCCTGTGTAGAGAAATCGCTTTTCCCAGAACAGCATGTGCACCTTCAGCAAAGCTACGAAGAGCTTCTAACTTTACAGCACTGCAACACTGCAACACGCTATATCAGAGTCCTGCAGCAGTACAGCCCAGGTCATGATGACCCAGCAACATGGATATATGTTACAGAGTGAAGGGGGAAACTGCTCGGTTTCACCTTGGTTGACCCCTACGCTAGCAAAAGTAGCATTACTGCTACAAATGACCTTTGGAGTGCAAGCATAATCATAACACAAAAGCTACAACTGCCCTGCCCCCACAACACACATACCAAGCACACACACACAGAGCAAATGATCTTCCATATCATGCACTTTAGAGACTAAAATAAATGAACTTTTTAATTAAATTTAAAGCAAAAAGATATATCACCTCACTGCTAAATATTTTTAAATGACAGATAACATTTTATTAAAAGCTGCTGTTTCTTTTAATAACAGGCAGTAATGTTGTTTTTGTCAGTTTAGAGGTGTTTTTAAGTCAAATTTTTTTTGAATAAGCGTGGCTAGATTAAATGCCTTGTTATGGAATAACAATTCATAATTTTATCTTCATTGCTGTGTAAGTGTCAAGTCAGCCAAGTCTAACCTCTCTATGTAACCCTATATGGCCCAGGGCTGTGTTTTTAATATCATATAATGCTGATGGTACATGTATTTATTGCTACAGCTCAGCCTGACAGGACCGATAGCAACACACCTTTACTACCTAAATATACTTTGTAATAAGTTGAGTTCCAGTGAGGTCACATCTGAACACAGCTGGACATGAACTAATGAGGTAGAATACAGATATCCATTATAAAATGTTTTAAAATTGAAGGTGCCAGGGGCTGTCTTCAATCAAATGAGAGAATGTGATGACTTGGTGCATGAAAACGCCCCCTACGTTCCGTCTGGCTGCCTAATCTGTTTCTATGGTTTCTATTAGTGTCAGATGAGAGCGTATCTTTGAGAAGGGGAGAGGGAGAAGATGTAGTATGGCGTAAGACAGTGCCAGAGCGATAATGAGCGCTCATTATGATCCATCATGTCTGGACATGGGTGTCCTTACCCTATTGATTTCTTCATCTCTGTGGTCTTTCTTGTCAGTATGCCACTCCCTCTATCTAATTCCACTTTAACTGTCGGTGCTCTTTGTCTCCAAAGCATCCATTTCAAACAGATGGCTGTTTAATAGGATCTCTTCTCTAACCAAAGAATTGATACGGTGTTAACGAGTACTGTACTTTGGTCTTCCTGATTTTTTTTCCACCCTCCCCATCTCCATCCATGCCTCTGCCTTTGTGCCCTCAATGTGACAGTCTGGCCTGCGTTCTCTTCCAGCATCCTCAGCAGCACTCCCTCAGACTCCAAGGTCTTGGAAGCTGGTGCAAGGTCAACCACAGTGGAGGAAGAGAAGATGGCGAGAGAAAGAGAGAGACAGAGGGAGAGAGAGAGAGCGCACGACCGTATGCTTCCTATCACCCTTTAGAACACGTGGCAGAAACACTCCATGGCTGCAAGAAGAGGAAGTGTGTGTGTTTTCAATATCGGAGCATCACCATCAGCTCATGGTCATGTGACACCAGCATATGCCTCAACGGCACAAACGGTTTCTGACATGAAAAGCAAGCCTGCTCCGTCTTTTACTTTCTATTGGTTATGAGTCACAAAACAAATCTGTTCTCAACGAGTCAAACACGCTGTCAAAATACGGACTGTGATGGATGGCGCTCAGCTATATGAGGTCTTCTTGAACACAGAGAGCTGTTTTGAGGCATGTCTCAACTGATTGAAAAGGTTCGAGCAATCAAAGCAACATGCTTGTTGCTAACCTGGACTGGTCTTGAACTTGTCATTGTGACTAACTGCTAGAGAAAAGAGGGAGTGGTTCACAGTTGTGGTGAGACTTCCTGAAAAATGGCCAAGTGGCACACTATTAGTTTACTTTAGCATAGCTTAACACCATAGGTCAAGAGCTGCCCAAGGCTCTATTCTGAATAATCGCATATGAAATACTACACTGCTAACTGCTGCAGTATGACTGGAGATTAAGCGGAAGCAAAATGCTACTTATTATATTGCAACATCTGCTATGACAACCTCACCAACAAACATAGCTTCTAGCCGGGGCTCCTATTTTCAGCTTTGACTGCAGAGGAAGAGGCGTTCGTCTCTTTTGGTTAGCTGCTGTTTAGTAAAAGAAGTGGTTTCAGCACATTGACAGAGGTGGAGTCAGGGTGACAGTGTGCTGAGACAGGTCATCTCAGTGGAGGACGCCGGAGGAAATGCAACACCCCGGGCCTCGCTCCTGCTGCTCCATGTGCTCAGAATATAGCATGTCAATATTGCCCTCGCTGACCTCTATCCGCACACATACACACTGCTGCACATATGGACACGCGGACATGTTCTCCTCGCTGTCTCTTGATCTTTCTCCGTCAGACACACGCACACTGAGAGGCTGAGGGCTGCTATACACTGTAGCTCTTGCAAACAACATACTGTACATCCCTGAGTAAGATGCTTTGTTTTGGGGTGATGCTATTTTGGTGGAGAGATCGCACCCAGTAAGGTCTGAATAAAATAGGTATAAGGGCTCGGGCAACAGCACATTGCATTAAAAAGACATGATGGATACACGTATACTGTATTTCTTGGGTTTGTTATGAGTAGATGGCATGGATGAAAAGAGCTCACACTGACCAAAATCCTCCACACGGTGTTGCAAAAATAAAATTCATCATGTCTTGCTAATTTGAGTATCACCATTGTTTGTATTGTTAGAGCCTTTTAAAGTTTTTTTAAGATTATTTTTGGGTGTTTTATGCCTTTATTGTTCCTACAGCCGAAGATTGGACAGGAAATGTGGGAGAGAGGGGGGATGTCATGCAGCAAAGGGTTGCACGTTTGAATCAACCCTGGGCCACTGCAAAGCACTGAGCCTATGAGTCGCACGCTCTACCCAGTGAGCTAAAAGTTTGTTTGGACAATTTGCTGATATCACAAGTACAATGACAATAATTTCGATGCAATTCAACTCAGGGGCCTGCAACTGATACAAGACAATATCAGTAAATATCGTCATTGTCTTTTTCTTGGCTGCTTGCAATTATCTGCTTGCGCTAGGTGGCTAGCACTGTTTGAATCTTTAGGAAGGAGGTGCGCCTGGGTGGAAATGATAACACAGACTACCATGGAAAATTCAAAATAAAGGCTTGTCTTAAAAATGATAATACAAATTGATGTTTTCACCTTGCATCAATATTATTGGCTCCTTGATTATTGAATCAATATAATGTCCCAGATCAGTGTATTGTTACACCCCTATTAAGAAGCTCCTTATCGTCATCGGTATCAGGTCGTCATCTCCCCTCAACTATTAGTTTAACTGACTTATTTGTCATCAGGTTAAATAACGTGGTTCTGAAAGTGAGTCTTAGGCCAGGAACGAACAACAAACAATACCTATTGATTCCTCTGAGAGCAAACCTCCAGAGACAATTAGATCTCTTGTTTAGCATACATGGACAGAGCTATCCACACACACACACACACACACACTGACAAGACACACAAATGCAGACCTATACAAACACACAGACCTCTGTATATCCTGACAGAGGGTATTCTTAAGCTAAGTGAATATCTGACTGTGTGTGCAACACTGCATCTTTGTGTGTGTGGATGTGTGTAAGGATGTGGTGAAGTCAACGGACAGTGAGGATAATGGCCGGCCTTATGGTTTAATGAGTGGCTCATTGGCTCACATTTATATTGTCTATGTCAATGTGCTGGGGACGTGGTCAGGGTGATTTCCACATGTACAGGCAGGTTACAAAATTTAAGAGAAACTCAAATAAATGAGAGGAGGAACATCTCCAAATGCAAAGGATAAGTGGTCTGATGGGTACTAAAATTATGTGAGTCATATGCCATGACCTTAGCAGTCACCAACTGAACACCTGTGGGAGATTTCAGACAGGTCTGTTAGATGAGGGAATATCTTTCAGAGGAATGTTGCTCATCCCTTCAGTAGAATTCAGAAATGTGTAAAATCTACGCCAGGTTTTACTGAAGCTGTTCTGGCAGATCATGGTGGACCTTATTAAGATGCCTTATGTCATTCTTTTCCTCTTATATTTTCATCCATCTGTGTATACGGCATAGTTGTTATCCAATATATAGACATAAATATAAACAGGAGGCTGGGAGAAATCTTATATTGTTAACATAATAGTTGCTGTGGCTTGTTGACTTTTCCAAACACAATAAAGCATTTTTTCTTTTTAAGACAACAGCTTTGCACCTATCCATATAATACTTTTGTGTACGCACAGAGCAGAATCTTTTTCAGTCCTGAGCATACGCCATCATGACTAATCACGTATGCCACATGCACAATTAAATAAGTTGGTTTAGCTTCTTTATCAGTACCGGTACATTACATGCAAACATACCTCACCAGTGACCAATTTTATCTTCTGCACTAGTTATAATTCTAATCGAGTCAGTCATTTTCATGGAGGGCAGGCCATGCTAATGTAACCACATCCACTGGCTCATGTTGCGGCCTGCTTCTAATATACTGAGGCAAACAGACCCAGCTCAGTCACAATGATAGAAACAAAGGCAGCCATGTAGTTAGAAAGAGACTGTGAGTGAGAGAATGTGACCATTGGGGCCAGCGTGTGTTATTAAATGTTACAGCCATCTATCGCTGCTTCAGAGATGGAGAGGTTTAAGATGACGAGGCTGAAAGCAGGAGCTGATGCAACTGGGGTGAAGGAAAACAAGGACAGGCTTGTGTTGACATGTGTACCTCTGGACAGAAAAACAAAGAAATAACTAGACGCTTATTACTGACTCCACGAGCAGCAGCTTCGACATGCTGCTCGCTCTGCTTATTATTGCTGCTGTGGGGTTCAGATGCAGGTGGACCCTGGCTTTGTTTCCTCTTTACTGCAATATCTGAAAACAATTATAACTGGCTAACTAAAAGTTATAAAAATAGGTGAATATTGGGACAAGTTAACGAATCACCCGTGTCTCTGACAGGAGGTTGAAGTTGATTCATTTTACCATAGCTTTAGTGTCAAACTGTAGCTCAGAGGGGTTGAAATGTGGTCATAACACAGTAGGAACATACAGAGAAGCCCTCGTGTAATAAAGGCTTAACCTGTCAGCACAGATTCAGCCATGCACGTAATCCTGTCTGTAGGGCAGATCCTAGATCACAGGAAACACACATAAATCCACAGCAATTTGCACCTGAGTTCACACACACATGTACAACCTTACACAGAGTGAGCAATGTCATCTCTGACATTATTAGCCATAATATTCACGTTGCCAACAGCACGTTCCTCAGGCTTCTGCAAGACAGAAATTGATAGCAGCGGAGGTACCATGGGGACTTAGAAAGTCTTGACAATGCAATCTGCCACACATCTGTCTGTGTTGCGCATGCTTGCGTGTGTATACATACTTGTGTGTGTGCTACTGTCTGAGCCACCCTGAATCCCTCCAAGTCACAACAACAACATTCCTCATCATCGCCCCAACCACGGACACACCACCAAGAGGAAACCCAGAGAGGCGAGGGGGAGGAGGGCAGAGGTGGTGAGGAAAGGGACAAAGAGGGGAGAGAAGAAAGCCTAAAGTTTAAGCTCTGAAGATCCTCTGGCTTTCACAAACCATATTTTACCAGAATCACGTCCTGCTGTTATTCAGACAGTTTTTGGACTCTCCGAAAGAATCAATGCCTAAAAAAACATTTGAAATTATTGTTTCGGACAAATAGCCAGATATTATCGCACGTAGGCAAACACTTTCAGTCCATTTACCTTCGCTTGATCCACACAGACAAACTTAACTCCTGAAAGAAATAAAAACATTACGGCTCAATCTCCCGTTATCTCCTAAAGCCTTAATAAAGTACGAAGCTACTTACTTTCACTCCAGTTTAAACATCGACAAGTAAAATCCCTCCATTTACTGGGTCTCCTTCTCCCTGTCTCTCTCGTTCTTGCCCCTCTTTCCTTCTGTCTTCAACTTTCTTCCTCTCTCTCAGTTACTCCCCCTCTGTCAGACGCATGAAAACACTCACTTAGTCACACATACACACACACACTAAAGCACACACACTCCCACAGACAGAGTCACCCTCTAACACACTCTCTCCTCCCGCGACCCGGAATGCTTGGCAAGATCCAACTGTACTGAAATACTGTGCTCGCCATATAAGGTAGCAGCAGCTTCACATGTCACACGTAATTTACATGCGGCGGGGCGGGAGTTTGCCTTACACAGCACACACACGTAGAGACACACATACACACATGCAAAACCATGCTTCCCCCTTTAGGCTGACGCAGCAAGGGAGGGAAGAGGTACAAGGGAATCAAATTTTACCATTCCCCTTGTTAACCAAGCCCTGCGGGATAACTCCCAACATGTCCAATGTTGAGTCAGATGAAGGGAATGAAAGCTGAGTGGGCGATCTATTGATCCTCTCCACTGCTTCCTGGAACAACCATGGCCATCCAAACACACACACGCGCGCACACACACCAGCAAATTTTCTTGCTAACTAGCGCTACCCTCAGGAAGTAGCTATTGTGTGACTGTCTGCTTTGAGCCAAGAATGTGTCTTACTGTGTCTGTGTGTGTACGTGCATGTGTCTCTATCTATAAAACAAGCCGTAACAAATCAATGTTAACCCTGTGGCCCACATACTGAACACACACACATGGCAGACACTAAGGCAAACAATCCCCATATCTCTACCAATGCTCCAATGCACAGGCGCTTACTCTGGAAAGTAAAGACTGCAGCACACACAGGAGGAAAGATCTAGATAGACCAATGAGACAAGGAGGAGGGTTATGAACCAAGCTCTTACCTCTCACATTGCTCTCCAGTTTGTGTGTGTGTGTGTTTGCTTCCGCGTGTCGATTGACTCTGTGTTTATGCGTGTGTTCAGACAGGCCGCGACAGCAGACCCCCAGGCACCGGCTGGACCATTCTCAGGCAGGCAGGCAGAGCGCAGCAAGGCAGAGCGACTGGCAGAAGACAGGCAAGCGAGTGAGCGAGTGAATCAGCAGCAAATGAGTGGAGGAGCTGTGCGGAGCCGAGCACCAGAGTGAGAGAGAGAGAGAGAGAGAGAGAGAGAGGGAGAGAGGGAGAGAGAGGGAGAGAGGAGGAGTGTTTGTCTGTGTGATTGTGTGTGTGTGTGTGTACGTTGCAGCGTTGGCTGTGTGCGCTAGTGTCTCCCCTCCCCTGCCTCTTGAAGTGGCTGAGCTGGGCTGTGCTGAGCTGAGACGGGCTGGGCTGTGTCTCTACTGACTCCCCAGCCTCTGGATCGTCTGTCTGCTGCCCAAGGAAAGTGGTGCTCGCTGGGTGGCAGTAGCAACAGCTGTGGAGGAGGAGGAGGAGGAGGAGGAGGAAGAGGAGAAGGAGGAGGAGGAGGGAGCCCTGACTGCACTGGGCATACAGATCCTGCAGTCCCCTCTCCCTCCCTTTCTTCCTCACTGAAGGCTAGCCACGCCCCCCCTAAAACAACACCAGGAAGTGCTGGTTCAGTTACAGCAACACTGCCCTTGCCTATCCAGTGAAGCTGAGGACAGAGAGAGGGAAGAGGGAGGGAGGAAGGAAACACTGGGAAAGCACAGCAAGAAGATAAAGAAGGGAAAATCATAGAAGCAAGGAAATGCCATGTAGAGTGACGAAGGGTATCAGAAATAACACCTGGGGTTATTAAATACTGCCAGTGAGGACAGAGAGAGACAGAAACAAGTAAAACAATGTATTTAGTGACATATGGACGAAAAACGAGAAACACAGCAGTTGGAGAGAGCTAATAGTTTAAGGGATGTGCAGGAAAGAATAGTGAAAAGGAATTCACGCGGAGTTTGCTGCAGATTAGGCCTGGCTTCTGTCAGGATCCTCTCTTCTGCTGTGGCATGCAACCCTCACACACCTCAGCTCAGCCTCACACTTTGTCCACACTAAAAAAGCAGCACCGATTAAACTGCACTAAATCCAGATGGACTACGCCAGTAAGTGGTTGTACATTGAGAGTAACAAAGAGCACATAAATACTCTGGCAATTCCTATTCACATAGATGCAGACTGATGCAGTTCGGTTGCAGGTCAGCAACATATTACAAAAAGGCTTACCAAGACAACACTGAGGCAACTGCTCTTGCCAACTTTCCTGTATTGTTGTTGACCAGAGGTTTCTGCCGCCACAACCCCTGCATCCAGGGAAGAGCCAGCGAGGCTAAAGAAGCCTCCAAGAATTTGATTTGGACCTGATGCTGCAATATCCGGTAGCCATGGAGATAGTGGCCTTGGCATCTGCAGGAATCTTTGCAGATTTTGAGCTGTGTGCTGACGCCAAGTTTTCTGTCTGATCCTGCATATTGTCTGTGACTCACTTCATTTGATTGTGATCAAGGAGAGAGTGCATTCATAATGCTGCCTGGACTGAAAATAGCTCTTTAATGTAGTTTAATTTACAAAGAAAGCGAATTTCACACACTGCAGCCGAATTCAGTTTGACTGAGATCGCACCTGCATCCGTATTCGTAGGGAGATGGAGGAACCTTCTCTTCCTCTGCTGTATTTGCATATACATGTGCAGTATAGTGCTGCAAGAAATATGCCAGTGCTTCTCCTATGTAAAAGTGTCACGCCTGTCTTTCCATTCCATCCCTTCCTTCTCTCTTTGGACCGGTTCCTATTGCTGCACAGCTCTGTTTAATACAAAGCTGGTGATAAGTCATCTCTAATTTACACAGCAGGCCCTTAAACCCAGGGTGACAATCTGTGGTAGAGCCCCAGCTGCAGTGCTAACCCTTTACCTAGCCAGTGTCATGGTGCAATGTGCCTACATACTCAAAACATGTTGTATATCGTGAACAAAAGAAAGATGTCACGGGATGCCATAGTACTACTTTTCTAAGTTGACCACATTTTGATGGACAGTGCCATTATTAGCTCCACCATCAAACTGCGTGCCTTGATCTATTTCCAACCGTCATTCATTAGTGATGGAAGGAGATCTATTTCCAACCATGGAAACAGCCCCGCTAGAACACATACAGTATGTCTTTTAGATTAGCAGAGCAATCTGTTTGACTGCTGATCAATGGAAGCAGCAGGTCACTCTAACCTCCAAATGGAGTTTTCCTTGACCCATAATGAAGAAACATGGTGATTGATGCTGCTCTGGCTCAATAGGAGACACATTAGCAACGCCTCCAAAGATCTGGGCTTTCTGCGAACCTCAGACACTGACGTGGAATTTCCCCTCTTGTGCTGCAGCTGAGTGTACGCCAGTTGCTTCTGCTCCTTTCTGTCCCTGCGTATTTCTTAAACTCCTCTGCCCTGCTGGTCCATATTTCCTATTCATTATCATTCTTCATATGTTCCCTGTGAGTGTTTTCATCACATTCTCTCACTTAATGACTACATCTCTAGTCCACTAAATTTCCCCTCAAACAACCGCAACCACTTGTCTATGTGTCACAGCCCGCAGAGCCATATACAAATATAGAGCCGAGCTTTGCAGTTACCAGAAGACTTGCTCGTTCAGTTCCACGAGTTTTATTCTGCATATAATCTGATCAAATGTAGAACAGGAGCCTATTTCTCCTTTCCTACTTCTTTTTTCTTTATCTGAACTGAAATCAGCCATACATTTTAACTTCCTGCTCCCCATGTCTTGTGTCTCACACAGATAAGAAGATGGCGTGACCGTTGTTCTCTGTAGGAGATCAACAAGGCCATAAAGCTGTTTAGATATGAGCCAAGCGCGACAAAAATCAACATCCTGGGGTTGAGCAAACTCTTCACACATACTCATGTTAACCAACTGAAAACAGGAAGAGGTGTGTGTGTGTATGCGGTCTGTTAAAGGGGAATTCCATCTATTTTACACATCGAGATCAGAACTAATCATGTGGAGAATGTCTGAGAAAGTAGGTCTAGATTTTCTGTTGCATCACTTTTGATGGCTCTTTTTTATTATCTGTCTGTCGTGAGTTCTACAAATTTATGAAAGTGAAACTGCTAAAGAGCAGAGTAATTTTACAAGGAGGACATGAATATTCTGGAAACTCCCTAACACTATTCTACATCAGTCACATTAACCCTAAACCAACACAGTCTGGCATGAGTGACCCCTCTGCCTCTGTCAGGCCACCAAATCCTAACCCTTCACCTTAGTCTGCCCCATTTTCTCTCCCTCCTCCCTGATGAATGCAACTTTCCACCTTAAGCTTCCCTATCATCTCAGCGCTCTGCTATTTCCCAGCACTCTGTAAATGACACTGGCTGGCTGATGTGAACTCTCACTCCACTGAGGAAATGTCCCAGAGCTTTCGTGAGCCAAACTCTGACGGCTCATCTATCACTAAGGCCGCAAATACACATTACACTCCCATTACAGACCATCACAGCAACAACTGCAACAGTACACAGTCCTGTGGAAAGGCCCACAGCAGGGAGCTGCACTCAACGTCAGCCATTTTACTATGGCTTATTTTGGAGGCTGCAGAATGAGAAAGCAAAATATTGCTTTGAAGTAAACAACTTCTGCTTTTGTTAGGTGTCACTTTAGAATACAGGAGGAGTATCCCACATACTCGAAGATGTTAGAACTATGCCGCTAATTACTATAAATATACATGAAAGTGGGACAAATTATGTCAAACTACTTTTCCAGTGTGCATACTTGCAGTCATATTTCACTGCTGCATATTTGTGGTTTCTCTTAACTTCTCTCTACTTTGACGCAGTGAGGGGAAGCAGGTGCAATTCAAGCTGTCGGGTTTGAAATACAGAGAGGAAATAGCACACTGTCTTGTCCCCATCTGACACCATTGTGTGTGTGTGCGTATGCACCATTCAAGCTTGAAGCTTATCTGGGAGATAAAATGAAAACGAATGGAAACACCCTTTGCAAAGAGGCCTTTCACTCCAGCTTCCAGCTATTTTTCTGTCTAAATGTAGCCTGCAGATATACTGCTGCAAATATCAAATAAACTCCACTCGCATCCCAAACTTCTTACAAACCTTGTATCTCTACACAAAGTTACATCAAGAGTAAAACACTGCAAATACTGGCTTTCCTAGAGCTGACAAACTTCCGTCTTTGCAAAACATTTCACGTGTTAAAAAGAGGGAATTATCAATATTTAGACAATTACAAAATCGTATAAAAACAAATCAATAGAAAACACCAAATAAAACCTAAAGTTGTCGATAGACATTAATCCTACAGAAAATGATATTACAGCTAGTGAGCTTACCTGTGTGTCTGTCTATCGCTGACGTGCCACTGGGACAGATGAAGCCACTTCAACACAGGTCACACAGACGCAATGCACTATGGGATGAACTAACATCTTCATTTCTCTCTTCCCCTACTTCTCTCACTCTCAACTCTCTCACTCTCATAATAGCACCTTCTGCTTGGCAACGGCCATACCACAAATGTGGTCAGGTTTACAGCGAACCATCACTGCGCAACATCAAGTCTCCATGACAACCACTCCTTATCTAATTTGCATCTTCTGCTTGCATTATCTACTGATGCCAAATACGGTCACCTTGTTATTTTCCCCGCCTCTCTCTGCATCCCCTTTGTATAACTTCCTCTTTCCCTCCATTTTCACAACTGTGTGTACGTAGGTCGAATGTTTTGGTGCACACAGACACATACGCATGCGTGCAGCCTGTGAGTGTGTGAAAAAAAGGAAGTGCCTGTGACATTAGACCAGTTTGCAGCCCGAGAGATAAGCAGTGAAGCGGCTTTTTAGATCAGGAAGTGGGGTGTTGTAAAGGTTGCTGTTGAGGGACTTAAAAAAGAAAGGGGACCTGCAGTATGTTATCATAATCCTCACACGGCAGGTACATCATCACAAGATTTCACTTACTCCCTCGGTTCTTCCTCTGTGAAATCGGCACAGGCATTTGGCCTCCTCCTCTTCCTCTCCCCAAGGACTGTGTCTATCAAACTATCGCTGGAATGTTGAACCAGGCCCCTAGAGCCCACACATGCAGCAACACTCAGCAGCACTCAGCACCTGTCTCTGACTGCCAGCAGAGAGAAAGAGATGCGGTCAATCACACTGGACAGCACAGCAAAGAGGAAAGAGCAGTGGAGAGTGGGAGGCGAACAAGCATTTTATCAGCAGAAAAAAACCCCACACTGAGCAGGCTGCATGTTGTGTGGGACAAATCAAATGACGGCTTAATTTCTTGAATGTAATATATTATAATTAAATCAGTTATGAAATCTTGGCATATTTACCATAAACAAAAAAAGTCAAGACAAGTTGCAACCTCCTCTGCCGCCACTGTTATTGTGTTTTCCAAATACGAGACCACATATTGCA